ATCAGGAAAAAATGTACCGTTTAAAAAACATCATTTGGGTAAAAACCTGTAGTTTTAAAATGTAATGTTTGTATACAAAAGTACAAACAAATTAATAAACTATGTTTACGAATTAGTATCGATGTTGCAATAAAACAAGGTAACTAAACGTTAGATGGAGGTAATGCTGCTTAGCCTATAATATTTTCTTGGTTAGTTAAAAGTAAAATATAGTCGTATTCATGTCCTGTAGAAGGAAAACCAAAATTGTGTAATTTAATGCCCTGACTACAGTTTCACTGCAAATTCTTTATTAAACAAAATGCTGTGTTATAAATATTAAATTATTGTTATTATGCAAGATTTACATTTATCAATTTCAATTGAAATAAAAGGCAAACAAGATCTATTCTGATATATTGCATGTAATTGCAGAAATAATAGCCAGTATGAATTCCATTCAGCGATGTCAATAGCTCGGCTCTCGGCAATAGCCAAGCTTAATTACCGCCGTACGGCTTCGTCGAATTTACTCCATCAATGGAGTGCAATCCTGCTCAGAAGATTGCGTCTCTAAATTAAATGACGTCTGTATATTGTGCAATCGCAGCAATACTAACGAATATAGCTTCAAGTATTACGTTTTCAATCAATCATAAGGTTTGTGGAATGATGTTTCTTATTTTTTATAGATTGCCTTATTTACGTTCTTGGATCATCTGTGGATTTGATAGATATTCAATACCTATTAGAAATAAATACGTACTTGTTCAAAAACCCTCATTGTTTACTTATTGTTAACTTCCACTGGTGTTCCACTGGCTTTGAGGTTCATGGTCGTTAGATTCAATAACATTAAGCGATTCGATGCTGGTTTGCCGCCTCCTAATTAAAAAAAACACATATTTTTATTTGGAGACTGGTATAGCAATATCTTTTAGGATATTTTGGCAGTAGAATCTGACGATAAAGGAATTAATATGCCCCGTACAAACAAGGTTGTGTCACGGGAGGGGGCTCCAGTTCACACTGGCGTTATTGAGTTACCGCTCACCGAAGTTAACAGTATCCAGTTAACTTCAAACAAGACTTTAATTACATTCGGGATAAATTGCTTAGCGTGTTTGTACAACATTCGCTTTTATACCTTTTTTACTTGAAATAAATATAAATAACTAGTTGAAATTAATTAGTGAAACACAGTGTTTTAGGTCAAGTCGGCAGTAATTGGTTCAAAGCTTAAACAGCACCCATATATTTACCCCTCCCCAACAGTACCTACCTCTTGCCTACACTCTTGACATTTTCCTTGTGCCAATTATTTTGCTTTCATTCCTAAGTCGATTTCTTTTCTTACACTTAAAAATCTTTACTTTAATATATTTTAAATAACAAATGTATAGTCTCCTTTTAATTCCTATGTGCTTATATGGAGGTGTTTACACTCGATTTTTAGTTGTACAACTAAACAGTTGAATAGGTTGCGAAACAATCGACAATCGGACAAATGTTGTTTGATAGTTTACCCAAATGCGCATGCTCTTACGTTGATGTATTAATTAATGTCAATAATAAAATATCTGGGTGTGTTTTATTTTACACTAGCTTTCGACCTAGACTACGTCCGCGTGATAATGAAAATACAAAAGTGAATAACCTATGTTTTCTTCCAGACTATCTTCTACATCTATGCCAAATTTCATCGAAATCCGTTCAGCCGTTTATGCTACAAACTCTAACAAACATCCATTCGTCCATCCATCCATCCATCCCTCCATCTAAACTTTCACATTTATAATATTAGTAAGATTAGTAAGATGTTTTTTTTTGTTGATGTTGATTGTTGATGATTGTTGTAATTGTGTGTAGGACATATTCTTCGTATAAAATACTATGAATAAATTCTTCATTTTGTATGTAAAACATATCTCATTGTTTATTAGCATTGCAATGTCAATAAAAAGCGAGAAATGTTTACTCTGTGATTGCGCGCTTGCATATTAAAGCGATACTCGTACACTCGGGGCCCATAATAACCTCCCGCAATAAACCATCCCCCGGAATATATGCTTATATGTTTTGTATCAACTGTGATATTAAATATTAACACTGTGATGTTTTAATAAAACAAGCAAACTTTAAAATAATAAGCGTCAATAGCCTAATGGTTTAGGGTACGGACTACCGATCTTGCGGTCGATGTTTTGAATCCCGCCATTCGACTATTGTCGTGAACCATATCCTAGCACAATCCTAGAGCTTAATTGGAATGGTTAAAGGAAATATTAGTAAATTAACATAAATCTACTAATATTTTTATAAAAAAAAAGTAAATAGACAACTTTGAAGTTACACTTAACTATATATGCTCTCAACTTCGATCAACAATGTATGTTAGATTATTGACATTGTTAACATATAAGAGTGGGTTTCCACTACCGACACTCACAAACAAATGGAAATAAAACATATTATGTATGTTTTATGTATATATGTACAGAATACCGTGGTTAAGTTTTGATAACAATTTTGTACTTATAATCGTATACTTAAAACGTTAGTTACAAAAAATTAAAATCTGAAAAAATAATTTAGCATTTAGCCTAACCTAGATTTTCAGTTTAAATTCAAAATCATATTTATATTAAGAATGTTCCAGAAATGCGCGGCCATTTGGACATGAATGCAATTAGGTCGAGCGCCTTCGCAGCGAAACTTTTAACCCTTTAGCTCCTACGATATTTACATTTACTGAAAATCTGATTTTTTTTTGCATACTAACATTCATCTGCAACTCCGTCCGTATGGAATTACAAAATAAAATAAGTAACCTATGTGCCTATGTGAACAATTTATCTATGTCAAATTTAATCGTGATCCGTTAAGCAGTTTAGGAGATAGATTCTAACAAACATCCATTTGTGTTATCCTAACCTATTTAAACAATTGCATTTATAATATTTGTAAGATACGCATTTCCAGTATGCATATTTGGTCCCATATTCAATACATTTTAACCAATGTTGAAGAGGTTTCATTCATGATCGAGTCGATTATTATTGTCAGTTTTATGGAATATTTATAAAAATAGCAAAGGATTTCTGAAAGTATCGTATCGCGTGATAAAGAGCTCATTAAGCGGCTAATACGAGTTGTCGTTAGCACGCATTTGCATCATTAACGTTGCGTAATCACACAATGTTATATCATCATTAATACACGGCTCTTTTACAAATAATTTTATTGATAGTTTTATATCGGCAATAATGTGGACAAGAGTCATGTCCTCTACATCATCATCATCAACAACTCACTTTACGTCCCTACCGAGGAGCTCGGAGCCTATCCTTAAAAGAGGTGATTAGACCTTAGTCAACCACGCTGGCCCACTGCGGGTTGATTTCACACATATATTTTAATTTCTCCGCATATATGTGCAGGCATCACGATGTTATCCTTCACCGTAAAAACATCGGGTAAATTATGTACATATTAAATTCAAAGAGTCGAAAATCACATTAGTACATGGAAATTCGAACCCAAGACCTGTAGATTACAGGGCTCAAACCCCTGAGCCATACAAGACACGCTCTATGCAATGTCTGGAAGAAATAAAATTTGAAACATGCAGTATTTTGTATGCATTGTGGCAAATTAAACCAATTATTACCAATTGTATCTTATTAATTTCTAAATTCTTACAGATTTGTTGATTTACTGTATACGTGGTCCACGTACACCATAGATAAAACAAGCTGTCAAAGTCCTAGCACAGAGTAAACATCTCAGAATAGATTCACATATTTCAACAAATAAAAGAAATGGGCATCAACTTTTGACCTAGTCTAAGACTTGATTTTATTTTAATTCTTAATAATACATTAAAAATCTTTTACATAACTTTTCTATATTTTTAATTGTTGTGCTTGAAACAAAGCTATATAAATTATCAGCCAGTCTGAAATATTTCAAGCAAAAAGACGACCATTTTCTTAAGATTCTGGGCGCCATTTGCAAACAGGGTGAAGCATTAGCAAATTAAAATGGTCATTTGTCATTTGCAAAAGTGCACTCTATTTTGTCAATATAAAAAAATCGCTTTACAGTTGATTTAAGTGAATTTCAGAAGAAAAATAAACTGGTACAAATGAGTTTAAAGAAAATTTGATAAAGTCGGTTTAACAAAGTACACGTATTGGTACGAATTATATGTGTAGTTACAATGAATTAAAAAGTAACACATGGACCTTATGTGAATAATGTACTATTGCAAGACTTGCAAGAGGAAAAAAGTATTCCGTCTTTTTACTTTTGGATCAGAATTAATAAATAAATAATTACAAATAGTTAATAAATTAATGTAGGCGTTAATACATATTTTTAATTAAAACTCTCAGCAAGCTTCATTTTAAAATGCAACGCTGCAGTTTCAATGAAGCAGCTTTCAACATTCAAACATTTTTTAGCTTTGTTCATTTCTCCAGAACAAAGAACTTGTTAATTATAGCGAGAGAAACTTTGCAAAAAAATAACATTAAAGTATTACAAACTTCAGAACTTAAAATGAACATTAAACAAGAAGTTAAAGTTTAACACTTTATTTTATTTTAAAATCAACGTTGTGCAGTATCTTCAGCGACTGCAATTAAAACGATTACTTCGAAGCTCTGACAGTTTAGATTTATTAAGATTTACGTTATTTTGTGGTAAAGTTTTTTAATCTGTATACCCCTCAATTACTCTCCACGTCTTAGCTTTGACAATTCATTCTTCTATACATAAACTGCAAGCTCTTAAAAATGAGAATTAAAAGAAAGGGTAGATAAATACATTTTGTTTCTGTTCTATATGTATATTTCCCCTATATCTATTTATATCGCACCTTTATAACCTTATTATCAACTTAATATAAATGTGTATGAGCAGGTTCTTTTACATCAGGCCACATGAACATTTCCCCACTAATACTATGAAATAAGAAGTGAACGTTAGTAAGATGTGTATTGTTTGCAGGCGCCATTCCCATGGTGACGGCGACGGTATACTGTGCGCCCGCACCGCTGCGCTACGCTGCACTCGCGGTTTACTGCCTCGGAAGTCTTCTCGGACTGTATAAAGTAAGTACATGATATACCTGTTCAGAGGCATAAAACGACCAGTACGACTTAGAGTTCTTCAAAAAGCATCCTACCATTCCTTAAAGGCCGGCAACTCATCTGTAGTTCCTCTGGTATTGCGGATGTTCATAGGCGATCCCTCCGCTTGTTTGCTTAGTTTCTTATAATAAAAAAATAAAAGCATAGTGAAGCAATGTGAAAATTTTCGATCGTTAACTTCGTAATATTTGAGGTTATATAGTTATTATCTAGAGAAGATAACTAAGTTTGTGACAGTTTTTTGCGTTATTTAGCTTTACTTGAACCGAGTCAGAGTCTAATTTCCTCTCTATATGACATAAACTGTAATTTGGAATGTACTTCATACTAAAATACACTCCATCTGATGGTTTTCAGGCGATGCGCGCGTGGTCGCCATGGGAGCGGAGGCTGTGCTTCGCAGCGCCGTTTTGTATGCGGCTGCTGTTGGCGGGGGCGCGCGCCGCTCGGCTCGGTGGCGGCAACCCTCACGCCATTTTACATGTCTTCTTACAAGTAAGATTCAAATCGTATCATAGTAATCATACATCTACACCAGCGATTACCTGGAACCGATGAATTTATAAGATCTTTGACGACATTTTAATATCCTAATTACAATAGCGACAAGAAAATAAAGCAATCGATGACCCATTTTTCGGTGTTTAAAAGATCTCCAAAGAATTCTTTATTTTAATTTGTCTTGTGAAGTATAAAATACTAGTTAATTCTTTTAACTTATAAACTACGTACATATACACACACGTACTCATTGTATATTATTACGTTACATTAAAATTTCTACAGGTTTATCATAACATCAGAGCTCAGAGGGCCGTAAGAGGATCATATTAATAAGACACAAAGGAGGCGAGGCCGGAACTTGCGGCGGCTTTATTATAATTTCATATCCACGTTAACCCCCTCACGTCCACTGACTGCTCCAAGTAAACTTGTTACATGAGAATTGTGAGACTTAATTGGAAAAGGGTGTTCCCTAGCTTCTACTTACACCATAATTAAGAAAAGAAATAGACTACTAAATATCAAAGGTCTCTCCGCTTTAGTATAGGTTGTTTGATTACAAGTGTATTGAAAAAATTTAAAAGCATACCTGGATGCTAGAGGTCTTTGTATCATGTACTATTAGGTAGTTTGCTAAGCAACTTTATAGTAAACAGAATTTACTTTGTCTAAGAACGGTACTACTACCAAAACACACTCCACAAGGCTAACGTTTTACGATAAGAGTGCCTGTAAAGGTATTCACGTAGACGTTACTTTAAAGTCTTCCGCGAACCGAACACTAACCTGTGAGCCATTTAGAACTCCCTCAGACATCTAATATACTTTAGCTCTTAACTATTTAGTAAAAATCCTCTGTTTGATCTATTAACTCTAAAAAGTAAAATTTACTTTATACTAGGTGTAGCACGCGATTGCGTCTACATGGAATTGAAAATTTTAAAAAATAAATTCTATGTTAACTACTCTCTAATTTAGCGTAGCGTAGCTTTTTAATGGTGAAAGAATTTTTAAATTCGGCCAAGTAATTTTTGGGTTAATTCAATTTATACAAATCTTTTCTCTTTATAATATTAGTATACGTGACTTCAATACATTGTCAGTAGACAAGGAAAGATTTTATTTTTTCATTCGGTGTATTATCATGAAGTATTTACATTATTAAGTTCAACAACTAAAAAAACTTAGTGTATGTTCTTTTAGACTAAGTACTTCTATAGAAAATTTCCATTCTTTGAGTCGTTCTGGAGATATCTAACAAATTTCTATCCATCTAAACTTTTCATTAAAAATATTAGTAAGAAGAAAGATTCCTTTGTTATCTAGTTGAAATAGTTTTTGGTGCAAACTATTCATAACATCAGTGACAATGGAAATCGATTAGCCTAATTGTGGAACGATGTCGAAATTACTGCAAGCGAGTCGCGTGATTTACGGCACGTCACGCTCAGCCCGGACCAGCGCAGCCTGACATGGTTACCATTAATTATTCCCGATTCCCAAATACACTGCCACAATGCTAAACAAGTTAACAAGGTAATTTATAAAGCAACAATCAGGATCGACTTCTAAATCGAAATCAATATTAATTTAATAATTAATGTTCACTAAAGAGTCGTTATAGTTATACAATCATGTCAATAACTAGCTAAATATTATAGTTTAACTACATGATTCATCGGGTCTTAAAGTGCAGATATTCTTATCTGTTTAGCATAGAATATAATAATAGCATAGAATTATAGAAATAATAAATAACAAAACTTCCCTTAAAAACAATGTTATGGTTTTCCTTTTTTGTGTCTTGTATAAGGAAATAAATTAACCACTAAACAAATTCGAATGTTAAAAGTGGAAAACTTTTCGTAATTTTACTTACCTAAATTATAAATGCGAAAATTTGAATTGATGAATATTTGATAAAAGGTACCTGAAACCGTCTGCATAGATCTGGATGAAATTAGCTGTAGATATGCAACACTGTATGAGAGAACACATAGCCTATTTAATAGTTTTTTTTAATTCCGCACAGACATAATCGGGGCATAAATAAAATTCTCCCTTCTTGCTTCTATACCTATTCTACTCGTCACTTAGCTGTCCCTTATTGTAGATTTCTGATACTAAACTCACACAGTGAGTTTCACTTTGTGATCAATAAACTACTCTAAGTGCGTCAGTAAGAAATTTATTAGATAATTGCTCTGTTCGTTGGTAAAACTGTATAGTTATGTAACAAACTTAACACTGAAATGTAAGTAACATTGGGAAGGGCAGAGAGCGACGAGGCGTGGCTTCAACACAGTTGGCACCAAGCCAAATGACATGGTACAAATCTGCCAGCGTTCACAATCGAAAAGCGTGCTTTATCAATAGTTAAAAAAATCGTATAGCGCTAAAGATATATAACCTAGAAGAACTTTAGTTGATATTAATAAATATTTTGTCGTATCGTAAATCGTAGATTATTCAACATGTCCAAATAGCTTGTAAATTACAGAATCTTTTATCAAATAAATAAAATCATTTATTACACTAAATATTAGGTTATAAACGGCAGAAGGCGCAAATTCTGGACACAAGAATTAGTGTAAATCTTGGTTACTGTTACATTTTCGTTGTAAAAAAATAATAGTCGCTGTTCGTAGGAAGCGAGAGAGGCACGTGTTGGCAACGCGCCAAATTATATGCATGAGGTCTGTAAAGCCCCACATGTTATTACAATATTATATGCATTGTATTCTTTTGTTATTAGCAATAATAGCTTTATTAATAGGGTGAGCGGACGCTACGGAATTTCCTCAATGTCCGCAATTCTATGGTTATCTTCTGTTTACTATTCAGATTTGAATATATTCACATAAATCGTAATAAAATATTATTTACTATCAAATAAGGGTCTCTTTATAAAAAAAAAAATGGTAGTCTTTTTGCTACAATCGAAAGACGTCTTCAACAATATAATAAAAGAAGTTGAAAAGAGTGTTTGTCTGTTTTGTGTAAAACAACACACATATACTACAGAACAAACACAATCACTTGTTTATTTTATGTATTTTACCTAGTTTGGTTTAAAAGATTTAGCAAAAACTAAACAAATTATAGCGCAATGTATCAAAGTAACTTAATAAAATAAAAACGTGTTAATTGTGACATACTCTTTCTCTGAAATTAAGACTTCGATTAATCAACCATTAGTTAATTTATTTGAATCATAATTTGGGTAATATGTTTATTGGCATTTTCAAGAAATAAATTCATAACTGTACCGAGTATTTGCAAGAAACATTTGTCATTATGAGTTTTGGGTTTTGTCATTTCACACTTAAAACCTACGGGAAATAATATTATAAATCGGGTAAATTCAACAACTATAACCGTGGGTTTTCACTATTATAATTAAACGCATTATTTTCTCCCTCATTATTTGGTAAAACGGATTTAAAAAGATGTTTTTGTACAAATATTTTAACAATGGAAACGAACATTTAGTTACATAAACATTCCAAACGTATGTTACAGAGTTTTGTTACAGTAATACCTATAATAGTTACATAGTAAGAACATCGACACCTGGCCAAGTGTTCAACCCTTGAGCCACCGACGCTTCTTGTACTTTTAAATACATAATCTTATCGGCATTGAAAATGTTAATAAATGACTCACGTGTTCCAGGACGCGGTCTCCCTGGGCGGAGGTGTGATAGGGGCGATGCACATACCAGAAAAGTGGTTCCCCGGCGCTGTGGACCGTTGTCTTAACTCCCACAATATTATGCACGTACTTGTCGTCCTAGCAGTCTACTCCATGCACCAGGTTGGTTATACATTTCAGTTAATAAAGAAATATAAAGATTGGAATTTGAAAAGCACCAATTTTAATTTGCGTTTGATTTATTGAAAATAGATTGAAGTGAACGTCATTGACAGCATGATTATTTGTGAAAAAAATAATGTTAGAAATTAGAGTACTATCAGTGCCATCGACGTTAGAATAGTGCGGTTGGTAGACCGACCAAAGCGCCTGACAAAAATATGCGGCACAGTTCTGCGAATTCTTATATAAAATTTTTAACTCTCATGGTGAAAAAAACTCACCGTATATATCCTGACTATAACAGGCACTAAACATAATCGTAACGAATGTTAAATAAATTTTATTTAGTTATTTATCAGATTCGACCAACGTGAATCATTTGCAATTAACTGTCTGGCAAAAACAATATTTGTTTAATTTACAATCGAACCTAACCACAGAGCGGACAATTCCTGTTTACTTTGTCCTTATAAATAACCAACAAGGATGGAAGAAACATGAAAATCAGTATAAATAAATGTAGTGTAGCTTTGGTAGACGCAACTTGGAAAGATAAACGGCAGGAAATGTTTGGGTAATTCAATTGAAAAACACGGATAACTATATCAATAAAAATGTCTAGATAAGTCAGAAATAATCTATCAAATATTATTTTTTGTACTTAAGTTATTATAAGATCAGATTAAAAACTCCATTCACCTTTTATTAATACAATTTCATACTGATTTGACTCGTTTCTATTACTATTATCTGTACGGGATGTTATTATTTGTTATTAATATGAGATCATTAACTAAGAAATTTATAAAAGTCACCTAATCACTAATCAATGTAAATGAAGTTTTAAAGTATTAATTTATTAGAGATAATTTTTTTCCAGGTGACCACATTAGACCTGGCGTGGATGTCGCGTGTGGACTGCGACGCGCCGCTGAGCCTCTGACGGTGATAGCCGGCCCCTTCCCCCTGTCTGCCACATTGCTGCACACGCACGTCTAGTGCTCACCATACTCACTTTACCATACGACATGTTAACTAACGTTGTCGGTAAAAACATAAATCGATTGACTTTTTATTTTTAGATTGAAATTTATTATTTCATATAAAAATCAATCAAGTTGAACGTTGAACTTTGGTTTAAGATAAGTAAATATAAATGAATACAAAACACGAAACAATTATGTAATTGAAGAAATACCGCATATGTAATTAAGTAGGTATAAATAGAAGGAAGTATGCAAACAAATATGGGAAAAACCTTACAACTGCATGTTGTGGTCCATTTTTCTACGTATAAACCAGATAATAGAATTGAGTTCGAAGAAAATGGCCATAACATATGATAAGGAATACTTTATACAGAACGTTTAAATGTTGATCAAACTGGACATTTCATGGAATAACGAAATCTAAGACATGTACACAACATGTTGATTGACGTCACAAAATTAATTCAAACTATGTAATTAACGAACACGTGTTGCAACTCTTCTAACGATTTAATTGTTATTATTGTTTATATTAACTTCTGTTAAGAAATACACCAAAAGAATCTAAACCCTAAATGATAGTAAACTACAAAGTTTTCTTGACGAAATTCTTCTATTGTGAAACTCATTCAGAAACGCTATAAATCTGTGTAAAATGTTTCTTCCATAGATTATGAATTTGAGCAGAGTTGTCAGAAGACAATATGACGGCCTACGTATGCGTCGTAATTACACATTAATTGTTTTAATATTTAAATAGACGAGGTAAATGATAACAATAAATACTTTAATATTTGTAGACATTACATATAGATAGACACGGCTATTAAAACTATGTTAGTGATAAAGTACAATTATAATAAAGTGATTTATGCCAGAACTAGTCGATTATGCATTTTAGGTTTATCTAGATAAATTTTCATAGATTTTTCGTTGTAAGTTAAATGTTAACCGTTAGATAAATTTGTAAATTAATAGTTATAGATAAGCTTATTTAGAAAGTTACGGATATCACTTGAATGAACTTTATTAGTGCTTAGTTCAGTGATTCTCAACATTTTTTTGTTGCGCCACATATTTAACGATTTCAAAATTTGGCGACACACAAAGAAAAAGATAATAATTATTTACTTACACTGCATAAATAGTTTATGACAAAAACTTTAAATATGCGAAATAAACTAATATATTATACAATAATAACTAAACTTTTATTAAGGGATTAATTACAAGCTAACAATAAAAGTTTTGCGGCACACTTTTGAAATTTGGCGGCACAGTGGTTGAGAATCACTGGCTTAGTCGTTAGCTCTTAATCATTAGTCGAGAGTCTTAGTCAACCCTAAGTTAGGGGTGACTATGCCATAGACCATACTGTCTCACTGCGGGTTGATATCGCACATATTTGAATTTCTTCACAGATATGTGCAGATTGCATCACGTTTTCTATCATCATTAAAATATTGGATAAAAGTACATATGAAAATATGCAAAAACAAACCCGGGCTTTTAGATAACAAGCCTTGTGCTTTACCAATGCACCACCGAAGTTCTAGTGCTTGTTTTTAACAAAATACTGAAAAGGATTAAAAATGACAATTGTCATTTTAAAATATGTTTATTATCTCTGTCAATATGTCCAGTGTCTCGAACTCACGCTACGAGTTCACTCAAGTATAAGTCGGAATTCTACCGAATGTGTTAAGAAGCTTTTTGAAAAACCGTGAATCGATAACAATGAAATAACATATAAAGGTACATCTTGTAACTTCAGTCGGTGCAGGGATAACAATTTTAAGAAATATTCGTCACTTGAATTTCCTACCTACTTCCTATGACGCACCACTTTGTTATATTGAGAGAGTTAATTTCTCTCATTTATTTCAGGTGTTTTTCATTAGAAAACTAAACTAAATGATATAATGCAAACGTAACTATTAATTAGATAATTATTTCTAAATAAATATCCAGTAGTTGTTAAGTAGAAATTGGTAGAATTAGATAGATTTCAAGCAATAATTCGAAAAGAGAATTTTGGTAATAAAACTTTTAGGGAAATACTTTAAAATTAGTATTATTATTTATTTCTGTACGCATTTTAGGCTAACTAATTCTATTTTAATTGATTTGTAAACTTACAATAATTTATTTAGATACGAAAATATATAAAAAGCGAGTAATAAATTAAAGAAAAGATCTAGATAATTATTTTATTGTAAAATATTGTACTTTTTTAACCAATGTAATTTACGTTTTTCCTTTAAAGGTACAAAGAATTTTAAACTAAAGTTTGACCGAGTATTTAATTTATCGTCAAAGCTTGTTAGTAACTATATGTAATAAAATATTTACTCTGCGCTACTTTTACCCGAGCAAAATGTTTATATTTTTGGAACATTTATTATATTGCTAATTAACGCAAATTACTTTTTAAATATTTAAATTTGAAATGTTTATAGCAAATTGTATTAATCCCATTAATTTAACAATATGATTTAAAACTCAATTTTACCATGTTTTAAAAAGATTTTTACCTTTTCGTCCCGCGTTCGTAAGTACAGAATATTTTTCTATTTAAAACTAGAAATTATTTTAATTAACAAATATATGCAAAACATTATAATATTTTTATGAAATCGTCATAAATAATTGTCTGATCGGTACAAATATACAACAGTTTTATTTTTATTCATGTAAAATGTATAAAAACTTGACTTAGGCCATGCAAATATGTTGCAATTATCTTAAGAATGATGATGAAATAATTTTGTATATAATTGCGCCATAACAATATTTGTTACTGATTAAAATTTGGAAAATTTGCCTTTATATTGTATTATCCTTTCAATATGTATCAATAATAACAATTTAAATTGTTTCCGGTTAGCTCTTTTTCAATTGTTTTTGTATATTTTTACTTTATTCTTCTATTTTGTTTCAACAAATACTAACTTAAAATTATAACTAAATAATAAAAAATAAACCTACGGCTAGTTTACAGATAGCTAAAAATACGGAATATGTTGAATTTAGTTTCAGATTTTTATAATATCAAATTATATTGTGTCAGTGTGCAGATTTTTCAGAATGATCTTTATTATGAATCAGTAAGGGACTGATGGTTGACGCGGTCGCCACTTATTTGGGTCCTTACTCTTCCTTTTTCACATTCTGGTTTAGTCACTATGGTAATATGGAAATCATTTCCTACAAACTTTCGACTTAAAACTTCTTAAAAATCCTACTATTGGATAGACGCTTCGGAACCAAAAAGAGTAAAAGTTAAATTTAATAAGAATCTAAACATAATAATTATATTTTGCGTAATTTTAAGATGTTAATTTTCAATTTAGTGCAGTAAGTTAGCTATAATAACCGCTTTAAAATACTTAGTAATAATATTTATTGGTACAATCGAAATGGAGTTATAAAAATACGACCATTTTAAAATAAATTATGCAATTAAACGTTTTTAAACCTCAATTTCAATGACCTAATGATTGTTTTCATAGGATGCCTTTGTTGTGGTTAAATTAATATGTTCATATAAATATTAAAAATTAAAACAGTAAACAATATTTACTTTTCAACAACAAAAGGTTATACATAATTATGGTGGAAATTATAACCATTACTTTCACAATAATAATCAGCGATGATAAAAGAATTAAAACACGATAAACGATATCTATCTTTTGGAGCAATACTCGTATAGTAATACAGTAATACTTTCTTAGACATCCTTTACTTTGATTTTTAGGTTATATCAATTTCATACGATAGGACTGCTAAATATAAAAACAGCAATATTCCCGTCTGAATTTAATTTTTACGTCAAAGCATTGCTAATATATGTAGCAAACGTGTTATCATAGATTTATAACCTATAGATGGGGTTTTGCATATAACATTGACGTCTAGAGTAAATTTTTATATAATTTTGTATTGTAAATGACAAAGGGAATTTACTTCAACAAAATTACATCTAATGCCTTCCATTTGTGCTTCGAATAGTGTATCTATAGGTTTTATATCTATGCATATTATACATGTATTTCTTAAGCTTGCAATAACTTATTTTATTTCCGCACTTGGTGATTGATGACTAAGGAATTCCCTTAGTGTAAAAAAAATTACACTAAAGCACTCATATACACGGACTTTTAGGGCCTGTCCCACCAAATTGTAAATTGATAACAATTGAACGTGTAAAATATGTAATTGAAATATCGACTTTGTTCCTTTATCTGCCAGTGACGTAATTTTTAAGCTATTTGAGAATCTTTCAGCCAGTGGTGGGACAGACCCTAAGTGTGATGGTTATACTTATCAAATTACGAAAATGGATTAATTTTAGTAATTTATTTAATTGTATTTTAACTAATATGTAGTATTTGCTTTGGATGATTTTTAGATGAGGTTATTAACATTTTAATAAAACAAGTAATCCATAACTAATAATATATCAACGATATTGTAAATGAAAAAGCAAACATGAGGTGATATTTGAGAGCAATATATCAGTATTTTAAACTTTTGTCCATTAGTGGGACAGCGAAGTGTTGAGCGTTATTGCACCGTGTTGATTTTTATGATCGACATTCGATTGATATTCTCAAAATTATAGTAGTTATTAAGGATATTAAAGTTTATTTCCATTCCATTTAAAGCATGTTTTATTTCATACCCAAACGTTATAAGGTGATGCCACAAAAACATGGTGATTATGGCAGTGCCACATGACTGAATGCCTTTTCGTGCTGTAATATTTTGTCATGCATGTTGCATGTATATCCCCTGGCTGAGTTAACCAGCAAAGTAAAGAAGACAATATCATATCAACAAGGAATTTCTCCGAATTTGACACTAACCTGTCCACTTATCAAAATAATTTAAAATTGCCTTTGCGTTCTAAATCATTTGGCAGTATTTGTTAATAATACATTACTAATATTGGAGTCTATGGGGTAGCCATTATTTTGATTTAAATGATGTTTTCCAGAGGTTTTTCGAAGTTTTCTTTCAGCATTGCAGCTCAAATGAAGTTCATCTAACAAATAAATAGTTTCTATGTTAATACACAAATATTAACAACACTTGTTACTCTCTAAATTGTTATCAAAAATACAATTATCGCGACAGTTGCCCAAATAGATAAACATTTGGGTTTTAATTTAATTTGGATAAGAGTTATAATAAGAATGTCTAGTACTGAAACCAGTGTGATGTTGATATAAACGCGTAAAACTACGCCAAATGATATCAGTTTTTTGAAATAAGTGCATGAAATAAACCTCTTCTAAATGTCTGTTATTAAAAAAACACAAGATACAGGTATGTGATTCCTCGCGGCGAAATTGCAGGCATTTCTTTATGGTGTTGGGAAAGGTAAAGGTAAACTATCTAAATATTTAAACATAGACACTACATTTTTCATCATCACCACCTCACTATATGTCCCCATCGAGGGGCTCGAAGCCTACTCTAAGTTAGAATGACTAGGCTATAGTCAACCAAACTGCAGTGCGGGTTGGTTGACTTCACACATATCTTTGAATTTCTTCACCGATATCTGCAGACATCACGATGTTTTCCTGCACCGTAAGAACGCCGGGAAAATATGTACATATGAAAATTTGAATAATCGAAAATCACATTGTGCTATAGTACTACTTTATATGGAAGGTATTAGGGAAGACCTAATTCACACTACATCACTGATTATAAAGTAATAATACTTTACAATGGTAAACTGTTTCCGATACATGAATTAAGGACTTGTTGTTAAGTAACATTTTTCAGCTACTAGGGAAATTCTTTTGAAATGTCTCTTTTATATAAGGAAAGTGGGAATAACCTACGAAATTATAGAAAACCAAAACAAAACTCTATACCATTAGATAAATAATAATTTTCAAACAATTAATAACGGAACAATTAAATAAATGAACAATAAAGTGTTGTCGCGCACTTGGTTTTCCGCTAGCGTCAACTACAAATACAAGCGGCGGGCGACGGCGCGAAGAATACGAAGCCATGGCCCGCCGAGAGAGGTCGTTAGTTTACGTTGTCGCCGCGCTGTTCGCATGCGCAGTTGTCGCCTCTGCACTACCAGACCCTTATGCTGTAGATAAACTAGAAAACAGTGAGTAAATAAACAATTATGTGTGAATTTATTACAGGGACCCATTTGGATACCTAATGTAGGTTATGTGCGTGCTTATTGTTTTTTTTTGTGGTGTCGAATACAAGCAATGGCTACGATGCGCCGACGCTTCGGAACTAATTATGTGAGTGAACTTTGTCGAAGATAATTCCGTGAAATGTTAATTGATAACGCGCGCGGTGCAAGCAAACTCTTCAACTATTCTAGTCACAATTATTGGTGATACATAAGTTTTTAAATTAACATTGATTAAATAAAAAAAACTATGTTTTCCTGATTGATTTTTAATAACATAAAGAAATTATCTGTTAACGTTTCAACTCAAACCGACATTTAAATCATGACATCAGTAAAAACCAAACTCGTTTCCAGCGGTTACTCACGTTTTGGAATATACAAGACGTTGCCTTGGAAATGGCGCGGGTATTTCCGATACAATATTCAACAGATGCATGTTACGGTTATTTTTTAATGATATCTTTGTTGACATTATCGATGTAGAGGGCACAAGACCGCGACCTCTTATCAAAGTGTCAAAGCAAATGTAGACAAGAACAAGTCAATTTATTTTTAAATATTGAGAGATAAGTGGCAGTGTTAGTTATAAAAACCTGTCCTATCTTAAAAGTTTTATGTCCTTTTTACGATTTTTTTTAACTTTAAACAAGACTGTCAATTATTATAAGACAGATAACGTAGTGATATTTGAATATTATAGATTATTCCCACTTTTTCATTATTCTTTGTGGGTTACTACAAGGGTATTAGACTAGACAACCAGGTTCAAGGTCACGGGCAAATACATATGAAAAATTATTTGCATATGAAACCTCCAAAAATTTTGCCTAGTCTGTTTTTGTTTATTTTGAAATTGTTATGTTTTGGTGTGGTCTTTAATTAAACTGGTTTTAACACTTTATCCTGGAGTGGTTTTTCCATGTTAGACGTTCATAACTAGTTAATCAAGTATAAGAGTTGCCATTTAAAATATTGATTGTAATTTTATTATCATACAATTATGCATTACATAATACACAAAGGTAGTTTTATACAAGGGTACAAGAGTAAGGCAGAACAGTAGACAATGCTCTTAGAGCGGGCGCACACCTTTGATTAAACTTTCGCACAAGTTTTGTATTATTGTCAATTGTTTCGCAACAAATTCAACCGTTTAGTTGTACAACTACAAATCGAGTACTGTGCCTACCTCCATATAAGTTCATAAGAATCAAAGCGCCACCAAACATTTGTCAAAACGCTCGTGTTCTGTCTCAGCGTTTATTCGAAAAGTACTGCATTCTACTACAGCACTGCTTGTCTCTCTTGTGTGAAATTAGCATTACAATTAAAAATGTGATTGTCATATGAAAAAACAAGTGGTTAGCTATGGCAACGCCAAATAGCAAATGCATATTATAACCGCGAGTGCATACTGTACTGACTGCCTATCGTTTCAGGACAATATACCATCGTTCCCTTTTACAGATACATCTGTACATACTAAGTTCCGGTTCTAAGCAATGAGAGTTATAATACCTTTAACGATAAGAAAGACAATCATACAAATACACTGCAATTAACCGTATAATCGATGTGTCATTTGCGAGCAATTACTTGACTTGTTTAGTTCGACAACCAAGACGAAATTACTCCACATTCGAGTCTTATCTATTGTCAAATGACTTGTTATTAAATGTCTTCAGTATGATGTTCTAGGGTCTATTAGTTTGCATTACGTTATTGTAACATGTTGCAGTCGTTTTTCAGAATACGGAGAACTACATCAAGTTACATCTGTTTGTTTCACATTTATACTTCTATACTCCTAAACTTCTATACTTCTATATCTGTACTATTATAATAAAGCGTAAACACACACTTCTTTGTTCCCTAAGATGTCAGCAATTATAGCATATTTTTGAATAATTCTTTCTTTAATGAAAAGCCCTACACTTACGTCACGCTTTAGGCTATATATTTTCACGCCATTAAACTTAGGGGGTAAATGTTTTGGATAAAAACCCTAATCTGGGAAAGAAATCATAAGTTGCTGCCAACATCAAGGAAGCAAGGTTGCCAAGGTCATTTTGACATTTGCTATTGATAATTTGACAAATGTAAACAATAAAAAAAAATTTCATAATTTCATGCGGATGAAGCCGTACGGGAACAGCTAGTAATCAATAAAGTGCGTCTATAGGGTTGTAGCTCTGTAAATCTTAAGTTTGGATCACACAAATTTTTTTCTACCTATCGTACTAAATTAAGTCAGTTTTACGTTTTCTTAACTAACTATTTCTTAGTCACATTTGCATTAAATGACCTATCTATGACATAGTCTAATGCAATTAAGCATGACAAATTTAATTATAATATTTTATAATTAAATTGATCCATTACTTTGTTAATTACTAATTTGTTTTATGAGGCAAGACGTCCAATTTACTTGCTTACGTCTGTTGAACGTAAGACGTTGAATCTTTTATGGGCGGTTTCCGAACTACTTCTAATCATTCCATAGTGCTTATTGTTCGATAAATCCCTAAAATTAGACTCTAAGCTACTTGAGATAATGATAAAATTAGTGGGAACTTCAGAAACCTAGCATTAGTCGTTTCTCTAACAGTACAAACTATTAGAAAGAGTTAATATAATAAAGATGAAAGATTTGGATTTTTGGATTTTCGTTTTTATTCGATTTTTTTTTTCGATTTCGATTAAAAATTCTTAAATTGTTAGAAAGGTAGTTTATCTGCGAATTATAAAGGGTAAATTTGTTTATTTCATGAGCACGAAGTTCGGAGTAACAGCTAGTTGAATATAAAGGTTGTTTAACAGGACACAATTGAGATACTTAAATGTAACTTTTTCACACTACTGAAATGGAGTGTTACGTGGATCGTATCCGTCTATTGTAAATGTACGATAGTAATAACACAGTGTAAATAAAATGTTATGTATATGTTCGTGAGACTAGATACTGTTGAAACAATACGGGTGTTCGAATCTACACATCTCTAAATGTTATTATACAAAGACTCCACCACGATATATAAAAAAATACTGAACAGATTTTCATACAGTTTCATGGTATGGGATAGTGCAGCTTCTAGATATCGTGTCAATATTTTTTAAACAGCCTCCAAAGACAGCATAATTATTGCCTATCGTTAAACTTAGTATGAGTTGATGCTGTTTTATCAGTACCAATATTATAAAGAGGAAAGATTGTATGTATTAAAATAACTCAAAAACTACTGGGCCTATTTTAAAAATTCTTTCACCACTAAAAACCAATCAATTTGTAACATAGGCTATCCTTTTCATTATTTTTTATTACTTCACAGTGACAAAGTCGCGAGCAACATCTAGTTGTATTTAAAAAGAGATAGATTTTGTACTGTCAACAGCGAAATTAAAAACGTACAGTAAAATAATTAGATAAATAAAGTAGAGACATTTTACTTTTCTTACAGAAACAAATCTTTCATACCGGCATTCTAACGGGTTCCTGTTTACGGTAGATGCGGTGTTCTACAGAGGAAGGTCGAAGGATGTACGGAACCGAGAGGCGGAGGAACGCGCGAACCGGCCCGTCAACGAGAGGTACCCGCACGCGGTTCTCTTCGGCGGAACTTGCGGCGGAACCATCATCGCCCCCAATTGGGTCCTCACGGCTGCACACTGGTATGTCCCCAATTTAAACTATATTAGGACATGAAAGGTTGTTTGAGTGCCATGTTCTATCGAAATTTTGCCTTTGATACTGCTACTCTAGAGAACAGAACAGTACAGTTTTGTCACAATTATCTGAACGATCAGAGTGTTCAGATAAAACTGAACGTGTGTAGGCTATAACTTAACTTGCTGGCTTTAAATTGATGCATTCAATTTAAATACGGCGTAGTTATTTATTATAAATCCAAGGAAAAACCCACATTATTGAAAACATAATATCGATTACAAGCTTTGTTATTATAATGTACAGTCAGCAAAAGTGTTCCCAAACAATTTTGATTAATTTCAACAAAATTCAATAAACCGACTAAAATTTAAACAAACTACTACTAGAAATTAATAGTCAGTTTGCGGTTAGTTGTTCGAATTGTGAAGAAAGGGATGGAACTTTACATATTACCCTTACAAAACAAGTACAATTAGCACCTACTTATTTATAACGTACTTTCCGCAACACATTGCTTTTATCTGTGATTCATTTGAGGCTGTCACCTTCTTGTCTGTACCTACAAAACTTCCTTATTTTCCATGCGTCATGATTTTATTGTATAAGAGCTGTCACTCGCAAACTTCGTTAACACAAATTTGGACTAAACCTTACGCCATTTTGATAGAGCGGAATTTTTTTAAAAAAGTAGTCTATAATATGCCATGTCAGCTATGCTTCAGTGAGAGTCCCTTCGAAATCAGCCCAGCCGTTTCGGAGATTACCCGGAACAAAGGCGGCTTGCGGACAGACAAACAGACAAAAATTTGTTAAATGCGATTTTCGTTATTAGCAACGCAAATACATCAACTTCCCGAAATGTGGAGTTTTTCTTTTGTTATTACAAACAGACACTACAATTTTATTATATGTATATAGATATAGAAGATATACAATAATATAAAAGTATTGTTATTAATTAACACACCTGCCACCTTAATTGCTCTACATTATCATTCAACGAACATCTAATGAGACAATTAATACAACAGCGTGTAATCGATCAACTCGTCAAAACATTTGAAAACCTGTTTAATCCAGTTATGTTGCCAACAAGAGATTTCTATAATAAAATATGGTAACCCTAACGTACTCAAAATTGATTCTTTTTATTTTTTAAATTAATCCGGTTTATGGTTTGCGTCTAATACAGGTTTAAAACATAATTCCACTTCGATATTAATAGGTCTCAAGTTTGTGTAAATAACGATAAGCGTCGCTGACAAAGGTCAATACAAAACGAAAAAAACATGTCAAGAGGAACAGAATGAACAAAGGATTATATCATATGTATAAAACATAAAAGCTTCAGTTTTCCTTAAGTACATTTATGTTTAGTTTAAGACATAAGTTTGGTCACGATTGAAAAACCCAAGTTCAAATACGCTTATACAATTTAAGTTGTTTTTCTATCGTACCGTGTCAGCGACGTCGCAAGTATACATATTGCTATCTCTGTTTTTACAAAGAGAATGTAAGGGATGATATGATGTGTGTTTATACTCGTGCTTGATCAATTCAACGTTTAGGGTGCAGTTTCATTAGTCGATAGAACCCGCATGCGTTGGGCGATATTCCTTTCTTCCTTATCACGCTTTATACTTGTCAATTAGGTCCCTACACGTTTTCTATATATTGTCCTATAATTTTATTAGTCGTTATCTCGTATGCAGCCCTAAAGTGTAAGTATGCGTTCTTTTTCTTTTTTCATTTTGTTCTGCTGGCCGTATTTCAACGTATATTTTTAAGAAATACCTTACTAATATTACAAATCCGAAATTTTACATGGATGCATGTTTGTTATATCGATGGAATTTGGCACAAATGTAGAACATAGTCTGGAAGAACGCATAGGCTACTTACTTAAGTTTGTTTAATTTTGCGCGGTAGGAGCCGCGAGCGAAAGCTAGTTGTGGAATAGGTTCACTATTTTCTGAAATATTACTATGCAGATATAATATTATTGTAATACATATTTGAACTGATATTGAAGTGAGACAAAGAATTATTTTACTTCCCTGTCATCGTATTTGTTTCAAGGACCACTATTGTTTCTTGTAAACTTATTGGTATTCACAAGAAACAACATACATACGTCAATACTCAGGCAATACCTATGGTATTTCCTTATTATGAATACCATACGTCCGTAGTTCATTTTTTTAATAATCATACTCTCAACATTATAAATGTAAACAAGGATAACTGTGTAAAATCTACATAGTAGGTAACCTATGTTGTCAGTAGTAAATAACAGTCTATATTAATAGTATTGAAACAGGTTAAATATAACTAATAGAATTATGTCTTTATTGTTAAAAATAGGTTATTGAGAGGACTTCATCACGGGCTATTTAGTTTACAATGCCAATTGAATTGTGCGATGGACCGTTACCCGAAATTTGATAAAGAAACTCTAATAATGAGCATTGTAGGCTTTTAACAAGATCGAATAATAACTCACAGTATTTAGATTTATGTCAAATGAATTCTCAATTTTTTATTATGTTTTGTGTACTTCCGATCCAGGCTAGGTTAAGGGGTCTAGGTCGTCTAATAGACAAGAGTCTACTCCAATCGAAATCAAGCGGCACGGTTTTCGAGGAGTCTCACGATCTGGGAGTTTATAACGATGAAAAGATAAGTTTTAATGTATTTTGTGTAACGTATTTCTTTGTGTTTGTTATAGCACGCTGTTTACCGGTGGCAAGTATGTGCTAGCCGGCACAAACAACTCGGAGGACGGCAGCGGAGTGACGAGACGCGTCAAGAAACTGTACATACACCCGCGTTTTGCCGTCGGACCCTACTGGCTCAACGCGAGACGCTACGACATCAAACAGGTAAACTCAACATTATATTACGTGTTCATAGTCTATACTATTTCCTCCGGCACAGCGTCTGCTTTACAAAATGGCAATCATGAGCGGACTATTCCTTAAGCCTTAATAAAGCGAATTTTTTAATGGTCACATTTTTGTATTATAATTAGGGTCTATAAGGCCTCATTTCAATAAAGCGTATAGAGACTTAATTCCGTTTATACAAAATTTAATATGACAAAATCTTTTTTTCTGACATCCTTGTAGTTTAATCTTTATATGCCTTTTTCACCAGGTGGCTGCGAGATTCGACTACCTCCTAGCGGAATTGGAGGAACCTTTTGAGCTGGACGGTGTGAAGATAGCCGCTGCAGAACTGAATAACTTGAATGTATTACCTCCGAATATAAACGTGGGATACGCTGGATATGGAGCCGAGCATCATGGGGTAAATATTATAGTTATATTCATACAAACGAAACTTGAATTCACAAAAGATTAATTAAAAGATTAATTGTGAAATTCCACGGTCGTACAACTTGTATACAAATTTAATGTATCATAGTTCGAAAAAAAGATGCCAATGAGCATTTCGACAGTGGAAACCCACGGTCACCCATATTAATGTTACCAATTATCAGGAAACAATGCGCCATGAGATGCACGGCATGGACTTGACTCTGCTGGCTGAGGAGGAATGCTCCAAGTTAGAAGAATACGACTCTCAAGACATGATTTGTATCAGAGGACGCGCTCCCAGATACGACTCTGCTTGCAATGTAAGTTCCTCGCATTAAAATTGCTGTTCTTACTATAAATATTACTGGTATTATAAATGCGAAAGTTTAGATGGATGGATGTTTGTAGCCTAAACTGTTTAACTGATCTTGAAGAATTTTGCTATAGATGTAGGGGATAGTCTAGAGGGAAACAAATACCTACACTTTTGTTTTTTTTTAATCCACGCGGACGGAGTTCGTTCATTAATAAAATATTTGAAGGTCTTCATATAATAAATGTTGATATAATATGAATATTTTATATTGTGCTCTACAAAATATTACATTATTCTATATCTTTAGATATTTATTTCACAAAACAAAAGTGTAAATTGAATTGTAATAAATCAAATGTATTTTATTATAATGGATATTGCAATTTTCCACTTAACATATTCAATTTGCTAAACATAACACAATAAATGGATCTAGGATGCAATAAAATGCACTATTATAAGTTCTTGTGGATAATGGATAAATAACAAAGGCGCCAAATACACCTTTCTCTTTAGTCTCCGCTGTTATTGTCTATGGAGAGAAAAGAGAAAACAATCATATCACTCTAATATTATAAATGCAAAAGTTGAGATGAATGTTTGTTAGTATGTAGCCTAAACAGTTAAACGGATTTCGATGTTTGACATAGATGTGGATAGTCTGGAATAACACGTAGGCTATATTTCTTTTTTTGGCTGACTTTCCAAAAGAAGGAGGTACTCCATTCGTCTGTATGTTTTTTTTTTGCCTTTTTTTTTTGGAGTCGCGGGCGAAAGCTAGTACTTATGTCTTTAATTTTCATTGTTTGTCTACAGGGTGACAGCGGCAGCGGTATTGTAGACGAGAATAATGTGCTGATCGGTATAGCGTCGTGGGTGGAGAACGACGCTTTGGAGTGCCGTAACGGCGCTATCGTCTACTGCTCTAAAGTGGCCGCAGCACGACCCTGGATACGCAAGATTACTGGCATCTAAATTAAGTTTAATAAACTCCGTACTAGATTGGGTGCCATCTTGTCAATAGTTAAAATTTTTGTTTATTTACGGATAATTAAGCAATTATCAAATCAAACTTAAACATATGTTTTTAAAAGCCATCATTTTTCTTTACATTTTCTTTTTTTAAATTAGTTTTCCTTTGGCCAAAAGATGTGGACTTTATGAGTTACACAATAACACTTATTTTGCAATCTCTAAGGACTGCTTTAGTACGTGAGTAATGCAAAGATTTAGGTTAAGAAATGTATATAAAAAGAAAGTAAATGTCTTACATTTATATTATAGTTGTGGTTACATTTAATAAAAACTGACTGAAAAATTATTTTACTGAACGACAAGTACACAAAGAATTTTAGCCTGAAATCGTTTTGTACCAAGTGCAAAGAAAGTTGCGACTATTATTTTTTTATTATACATAGTTATTGTCGAGGAATTTAAGGTACATTGAGTTATTTTGTTTTGTCTTTAGACATTGCATTGCTGTATATTATGCTAGTCAGTTTCGACTCTCTTAATGTTTTGTTGAAATTTTAAGGTTATATGTAACCTATAATAGGCCATTCAATAATTACGTTCGCCTTATAGTAAATATACTCTTGGGGAACAGGACTGCCCAGTTCTTGATATTTTGAAATGAATTTGGTAACAAAATATTATGTAACGTTACAAAGTTGTTCGAGAAATCGTTATTTTAAATCGCAAAAACAACGTAAATGAAGGGCCCCTAGATAAACTACGATATTTGCAACCTGTATACATATTTCTGTAAACAGGCATTTATAATATACTTAACTAATTACTACTAATCGTCGATGTAACAGTATGGAAATGTTTTTCTTTAATTTGTGTCCACTCTGTTAAAAACTGTAATCTTTGTCTTCAAGAATATTTGTTTCATCGAATAACACAACTGTTGACTAAAATGTTTTGTAAATTTTTGTAAAAAAAAATAAAGGAATTTAAAAAAAAGTTTTTTTATATATTTATTTATCAGTATTTAATATAAGGGAGATTGTATGATTTACTTTATGATGATAATTGTATGATTTTTCCTACAAAATTTCACCTAATTTGATATCGTTGAGATGACGTGAATTTGGGTCAACTGGCGTAGGTTAAAACGAAATAAAAACAACCCGCATGTTCCTGGAAATTTAATGACTTTAATAGAAGAATAACTAAATTAAAACAGCAAGATAGAAGAAAAAAAATTATTCATTATCAACATCTTTATCTGATTATATTTAAGCAAAAGACCAAAATTAATCAATGACCTAACAAAATATACAACAAAAGTCATTAAATAATTAAGTCCAACCGATCAGCCGGCGGTCGATGGCGCAGTCGATGGCGCGCCGCCCGGCTCGGCCTCACTAAACCAACCAGTTACAAATACAACTTACAATTTTGAATATTGTGATTAAAAAGAAAAAAAGCTAAATAATTCTTTCCTACTTATATAATGTGTAATAATATAAAGTGTCGACTACTTATAAACGTATAACTATCCATATGCTTACATAGAATTTTCACACAGCGGAACGGAGGGCGGTACCAAAGTGAATTCTCCCAATTTGTTAGGGATGACCGATATTCGTCCGCGTCGCCGCGCACTATCGACATCGATACAAAGTATGCGATTAATGTAAGAAACATTAACCATGTCTTTATTCAAAGCCTTCAATCGTTTTTTTTTATATTTGTAACAATATGTACAAGGAATATCGATGTTTTGTTCAATTTACATGCCACATCGATGTCAAGATGCATAGATCATCCCCATTATACATTCCCAGTCGGCGATGACATCCGGAACACGAAAATAGCACACAGTGATTTGGTGTTCGAGAATTTATGCAAACAATTTTATTAATAAAGAATTATATACAAGTTAATCTATGATAAATTACACGATGCGTTTTCAACATATAATTTCCATTAGGTTTTTTAAATCGTGGAATCTGAGTGGCAAAGAAATGCAAATTTAATATAGCAAAGACCAATAGTAAATTTAGTATCGATGTTCCGAATACGTCGGAGTATCGCTCGTGGACAGCCACAGAGCAGGCGGGCGGCCCGCGGCAGTGAGAGCCTACCTTAGCCTTACGCCGAATGACAAACATGAAAGCGACTTCCCAAAGCAAGTTACAGTGCTACAGAGGCCGACCAGTGTCCGACCGAACACTTTACCTTACACAATTTGAATAAAACTTACGTTAGGGGAGCGTTAATTTCTAAATATTAAAAACAACGCAAATTATTAAGTGGTTTAATATTTATAATATTAGATTTTCTAAATGTTTATTGTATGACATAACTCGTTAACTACTAAAGAGAAAGTATAAGAGCAAACTATTAATTTACGACATATCTCGCTAAAATACAAACTTAAATGTTAAAGCTATACAAAAGTATATCAAAAGTAAGTGTTTGTACAGACCGAAACTAAGTATTGTTTTGGTGAACCAGTATCGGTCGGACACGAGGGCACAGTTCGTCAGACTACCCGCAGCGGGGTGAGCAGAGCTAACATCCACTGTACAAGCATACTCGCTCCCCGTTGGAATCGTAACAATGTAGCTTTTTTTGGAGTTTTCATTTTTTTACAATATATAGGATTTGTTTTTCTATAATTAATTATATCTAATATTTACAATGGAGGTGAATGGACATATTCAAACTCTAAATATTATCTCCAAGTAAATTAAACCAGAAATTCCTACCCAAAACGAACATTATCTACAATTTTTTAATATAAACGGAGATAAGGCGCATCAGTGACCTTCGCAGTTGACCTTCAGAGCATCGTGTCAATACCAACACTTGAAATTTACAAAATAATATGTGACTATTATTGGCCATTTAATTCGATAATCTACATAGCAATTATTGTACTGCAACAATACTAACATTATCTATTTAAATTCTCTTCAATTTGGTAATTAAGCCAATAAAATCGTCAAAACTAGTTAACTGCAGATAAATTTCAAGCAGCGTATTCGGTACTTATTCGCTCCATGGTCATCTTGCGGCGAGCGACCGATCGCCCGATCTCCTTCAAAAGCAAAACTCTCACAAACAAATCAACACATAGATCGAGTGTGCGTTTCTGTCTATCGCTAAACTATAAACTACGCAGAAAAATAGTCTCTGTTAGAACGTAAGATAAAACCCGGGCGCGTCCGATTTCGTCAGTCGTGTAATATGAAACGCAAAAAGAAACACATGCTCGATCTATATTTTATTTAGAGTAAATGGGTCGTAACGTGTCGGGGAGGGGAGGTGTGTCGGGGAGGG